TAAAAAAAAAAACCGGACCATTTACTTAAATAAATTGTATCTATACAAAAAGTATAAACCGAATATATATATATATATATATATAGTAAACCTAAGGAGTCAGACAAACCTACCTAGGTTTCACCTACGCGGATCGTCACGGTAAAATGTTTAGGTTTGTCTAGCTCCTTAGGTTTACTATATTATATATATATATATATATATATATATATATATATATATATATAACCTAAAGGAGCCACACAGACCTAGTAGGTAGGTTTGTCTGGCTCTTTAGGTTTACTTTGCTTGTTCTACTTATTTTTCTTCGGACTCTGAACTTTCATTCTAGACGATTATATTCGCCGAAAGTACATGTTCTTAGTTCTTTCTTTTTTTGACCCTTTTTTTTCTCTTGGATATTGGTTTGTTCATTTACAAGCTAAAATACCTAAGGTTTTGCCGGACGAGTATATATATATATATATATATATATATATATATATATATATATATATATTCAAAAAAATTTAAAACTTCAATAAACTAATGACATCCTCGCATTACACACACACACACACACACACACACACATATATATATATATATGTTTGTTTGTGGGAGTTATTTAGGCAGCATAACCTGGACATGTTATGTCTATGTTTAAAACAGGTCATTTAATTAATAAATTGTATCGATAAAAATAAGGGATAAACGGAAAATATATTAAATAATTCTCGAACTTAATCCATTCCATAGTATGTATGTATATATATATATATATATATATATATATATATATATATATATATATATATATATATATATATAGTGTGTGTGCGTACGCGTGTGTGTGTGAGTACAGGTTGAGGCATGGGAGTACTAGAGAAATCAAAAGAAGATTTCGACTTAAATTCTTTTCTGTTAATTCACCTCAAATAATGTAAGAAAAAATAAATTTGAAATCAAAGTTTGCTTTTCATTAAATGTTTGGAACGCTTTTGGAATTATGAATTTTAAATCAAAAGTTGTTTAGCTTGCCTCGCAATAACTCCAACCCTCCAAATGAAAACATTTCGTCAATTTACAGTTGAACTGGCTAGATCAAACCCTAAGTTCTATGCTAATATTTTCTTTAGCGCAATTCTCGCTTCTTGAGATCCTTTCCGGTGCTATGCTTTCCAGACAACGTTAATCTGCAAAAATTTAAATGCAATGTCAATCGTAATCTACTGTCCTCCTGATTAATCTTTCCTCTTCCCGCTCATTATTAATGTTTCTGTTCTTAATTCTTCCACACTCTGTAACTTCTTGTATCTTAGTGGCTTTATTGCCTTGCATGTGGAACTCCCTTCCATCTCCATGCTTTCCAACCAACTTTAATCTTCAAATAATTAAAAGCAATATCACTTGTGTCTTAGTGGCTTTACTGCCTTGCTTATGGAACTCCCTTCTGGCGTCATGCTATCCAGACAACTTTAATCTGCAAAAATTTAAATGCAATGTCAATCGCTATCTACTGTCCTCCTGATTACTCTTTCCTCTTCCTGCTCATTATTAATGTTTCTGTTTCTAATTCTTCCACACCCACTAACTCCCTTGTGTCGTAGTGGCTTTACTACTTTGCTTGGGGTGATACCGATGAAAAAAATATGAGGATGTTATGGACCTTTCGTAATTTTGGATGATTTTCCAGGTACTTACAGGGAATGTGTTTATCATTTAAAAAACTGAAGAAAAAAGATTGTTTTTTTTTTTTTTTGTTTTTTTTTGGCTTATTTGAACGGGGACCCCTAAGCAGCACCGCCGATTCGCCGAAATTTAGTGCAATCGCACCGTGCTAGAATGGAATGGATTCGCACTGGGAGAATTTGGTGTGAATTTTAGGGAATATAAATTCTTTTTTATTTTAGGGGGAAATTAATATTTTGGAGTGAATTAACAGAAAAGGTCTGATCTTGATCTAATCTGATGTCTCTACACGAGCTGTTTAAATCTACCCGTTAATCTTTTACATTAACCCGACGACAGACCATTTGCCCACCACCCCGAAACCGGCTAAGGTTTCCTAAATCTCTTCAAGACGAACAGGTAGTGGGGGTCCAATTAAAAACAACAACAACAACAACAAAAAAATGGTTAGCATTCCTCAAAGCCTTGTGTTTTTAACTATTGTAATTTCTAAAGTGGACTCGATCGAATTTCTAGAGTTTTCATAAAATTAATTACCGAGGAGGATAATAAATATATAAAAAAATATTTCTGCCATGACTTTAATAAAAGAAAACATTTATAATAATTTCGATCATCTGTGAATAGTTTCTGAATGTTTCATGAACATCCGACAATTATTTTTATTTTTGCAAGATTTTCCAAATTAATGTGTGTAATACAAAAAAACGTGTTAAAAATTGTCTGAGTTATTTACTAGCATCGGTTGGTACAAAGAGAAACAAGTTTTTTTTTTTAATCAAAATTTAGAATGTTCTAAAAAGAAGGAAAAATTTTAAAAAATAATTAAAATAAACTTTGATCTTTCCTCTTAATAATAATATAAACATTAAGACGATAAAATTTTGTTTTCGTCAAGTTTGGCATCTTTTTTTGTCATGCTATGCTCTTTTTTTAGCGATCTCGTGGAGGTACCTAAATTAACAGAAAAGGTCCGATTTTGATCTAATCCGAAATCTCCAAATCTACTCGAGCTGTTTAAATCTACCCGTTAATCTTTTACATTAACCCGACGACAGACCACTTGCCCACCACCCCGAAACCGGCTAAGCTTTCCTAAATCTCTTCATGCCGAACAAATTCGACTCGAGATATTGTGTCTTCTTACCCGACTCCATTACGTAAATCCAACTTAGTGAGAGCCTACCTAACCTTGTCTACCCGAGCGCGTTACCCCTAACATACCCGCTGGAAAATTAAAAAAAAAAAAAGATCAAAGTATTACACACCCCGATATCGATGACAGCTACTCACTTATTTGTCTTCAACAGCGATGCGTTTCACGAACCGACATATTATCAAAATCTCACTCATTAATCTCGTGAGTGCAGAGAATACTTGATAAATAGTTGACCAGTCTATGTTTATTTTGTCTATGCTAAAAGGTATGTTAAAATATACACGTTTCAGGCTTTTCCTCAGCTTGAACATTATGTTTTTGTTGTTTCCTATTTCTATTTTGCAAATGGCTCTTATACTGTATGGCCCTCTTATCGACAGCAGTAATTTTTTTTAAATAAAGGAAAAATTAAGTTTATATTTCTGAGATGATATACATTAAATATTTACACTATTTACATATTGTAATTCTTATCATTATTATGACATTCACGACGTTCCGGCAATAGTACACATCGGCTTTCTTCAGGAGCTGTTTATATTTCTGAGATGATATATATTAATTATTTACTCTGTTTACATAGTTCAAACTGTTCTCCTCATCTTTATTGCCACATTCACGACATTTCGGCCGTTTTACGCTCCGACGTTCTTCAGGACATGTCTATACTTCTGAGATGAGGTATTTTAACTATATATACTATTTACATTGTTCAGACTTTTGACCACATCTTTATTGGCACATTCAAAACGTTTCGGCCGTTGTACGCTACGGCTTTCTTCAAGACCTGTCTGTATTTCTGTGATATGGGGTTTCAACTATATATGTCGTTCGATCTGTTGAACTCACCTTTATTGCCACATTCGCGATGCATTGGCCGTTGTTACGCTCCGACTTTCTTCAGGACAATGCATCGTAGTGGCTTTATTGTCTTTGATCTTCAAAAGATTAAATGAAATGTCAATCATTATCTTCTGTTTTCTTAATTCTTATTGTCCTTCCCTTAATAGTAGTTTTCTCATTCTCTTATTGTCCACTCTCCTAGTGGCTTTATTGCCTTTGATCTTCAAAATTTTCTCATATTCTCTTAACACTTTTATTCTCCCTTCCATTAATAGTAGTTTTCTCATATTCTCTAACACTCAGTAACCCCCTTGCATCCTAGTGGCTTTATTGCCTTTGATCTTCAAAAATTTAAATGCAATGTCAATTGCTATCGCCTGTCTTCTTAATTCCACATCTTTTATTGTCTTCTCTCCTTAATAGTAGTTTTTCTCATATTCTCTAACACTCAGTAACCCCTTGCATCCTAGTGGCTTTATTGCCTTTGATCTTCAAAGATTTAAATGCAATGTCAATCGTTATCTTCTGTCTTCTTAATTCCAGTTCTTTTATTGTCCTCTCTCATTAATAGTAGTTTTTCTCATATTCTCTAACACTCAGCATCCCCTTGCATCCTAGTGGCTTTATTGCCTTTAATCTTCAAAAATTTAAATGCAATGTCAATCGCTATCTTCTGTCTTCTTAATTCCAGTTCTTTTATTTTCTTGTTCCTTAATATTTATTCCTTTTTCCTGCCTTTCCTGCCTTTCCTGCCTTTCTTAGGGGTGAAATGATAAAAATGATTTTCTATGGCATTTTATGACTTGCGATATACATTTTTAGGCATACCTTGTGTCCATATTTTTTTTTAATCTCTATTGAGGAAAAGGCGGTTTCGAGGAAACAGAGACATTGCTCTTCAGAAGGATACTGAGATTGCAATGGACGGCGTTTGAATGTGAATGTGGTTCTACTGGTTATAATAGATGAACAATTTTTAAGTATCTACACACGCAAGATGGTTACAGGTAAGAGTATACAAATTCCGATGATCAGAATTTGTGGCCTGGTCGTTGAGGCTTTGCTTAACCTTCGTAAACATTATTTTATTATAAAAAAAAATTCACATTTAACTTATAGTTTCATTAAGCTCACCCTCCCACTCCTCATAAATAAAGTCGAATAAAACGTAGAGAGAGAGGTAAGCTAGCTGGGTTCATCTAAATTTTCCCTTGACAGCATGGTTGAAAAGCCTACTTTGAATCAAGAATGTCTGTGTGGGACATTGTTGGTGTGGTTGAGGTGGTTGGTCCAGGGGTTTCATTTTCCATTCAACGTTTACAAGAGAATGGGGTTAGCTCGACCATACCCGAACCGATTCACTCCTACACACGACATTTTTGACTCCCGACCCTCGCACCCAACCTTGAGTAGTAGTCTGGCATTCCTTCCTGGGTACCACATGCAACTGTTGCTGTGTCCCGTTTGTTTAGAACCGACAAAGAGGTACCGCACGAATGCCATGACAGACGTCCACTTCTCCCTCTCAGCAGTTGGCGTCAGGACAAAAAGAAATTAACGGTTTAACGACATGAGCCACGGCCTTCATTCTTGGCTTCTACCCAGCACGAAATTGTTTATCGGTTTTCATTTATTATACAATTTTTGACTTTCTTCCAGGTTCTTTCTTTTTTTCGTTCTTTCTTTCTTTTTTCTTTCTTTCTTTCTTTCTTTCGTTCTTTCTTTCTTTTTTCTTTCTTTCGTTCTTTTTTCTTTCTTTCTTTCGTTCTTTCTTTCTTTTTTCTTTCTTTCTTTCGTTCTTTCTTTCTTTTTTCTTTCTTTCTTTCGTTCTTTCTTTTTCTTTCTTTCTTTCTTTAAGATCCTTTTGTTTTTCATTTGAAATGCCTTTTCCTTCCTTCTGTCTTTAAGTGCTCTTTTTCTATATTTTTGTCTTCGTTCGTTTCTCCTTAAAAACTTCACCTTCTTTCTTTCTTTCTTTTTTTGTCTTTCTTTCTTTTGTTTTTCTTTCTTTTTTCTTTCATTTTTTCTTTTGTTTTTCGTTTTTCGTTCTTTTTCTTTCTTTTTTGTTTGTCTCATTCTTTTGTATTTCTTTCTCTTGCTTGGTTTTTTCTTTCTTTTTTGTTTTTTCTTTCTTTTTTACTTTTTTACTTTCTTTCTTTCTTTCTTTCTTTCTTTTGTCTTGCTTTCTATCTTTCTTTGTTTTTGTTTTGTTTTTCTTTATTTATTTCTTTCTTTCTTTCTTTTCGGTTTCCGTTTTTCTTTCTTTTTTCTTTTCTTTTTCTTTCTTTTGTTTTTCTTTTTTCTTTCTTTAGTTTGTCTCATTCTTTTGTATTTCTTTCTTGCTTTACTTTTTTCTTTTTTACTTTCTTTCTTTTATTTTTCTATCTTTTTTTCTTTCTTTTATACTTAATTTTCTTTCCTTTTGTTGTTTTCTTTCTCTCTTTCGTTCTTTCTTTCTTTTGTTCCTTCTTTCTTTCTTTCTTTCTTTCTTTCTTTCTTTCTCTCTAACAAGATTTCTTTCTTTTATCTAGTCGCTCTTTCTTTCTTTCTTTCTTTCTTTCTTTCTTTCTTTCTAACAATATTTCTTTCTTTCTTTTATCTAGTCGTTCTTTCTTTCTTTCTTTCTTTCTTTCTTTCTTTCTTTCTTTCTTTCTTTCTTTCTTTCTTTCTTTCTTTCTTTCAGCGCTTCATTTCTTACGTCCTGTTCATTTTCCTCTGCCTCTCTTTCTTTCTTTCTTTCTTTTTCTTCATTTTCTTTCTTTGTTCTTTTCTTCTTTTCTTTTTTTCTTTGGTTCATTATTTCTTTCTTAGCTTCTTCCATCTTTATTTTTTCTTTCTTTGCTTTTTCAAGCCTTCTAAATAATTTCTTTTTTTTCTTCCATAAAATTCTTTCCTCCTCTTTTTCTTTCTTTAGTTTCATTATTTCTTTCTTTTCTTCTTCCATCTTTCTTTTTTCTTTCTTTTCTTTTCAAACAATGTAAACTTGTTTCTTTCTGTCTTCCAATAGAGTTTTCCCTTCTTTCTTTCTTTTATTTTCCTTCTTTCTTTCTTTTTTGTTTCTTTCTTTCTTTCTTTCTTTCTTTCTAACAATGTTTTTCTTTTTTCTTTCTTTCTTCCTAATTTTCTTTCTTTTTTTCCTTTCTTCCTTTCTTTTTTCTTTCTTTTTAATTTCTTTCTTTTTAATTTCTTTCTTTTTAATTTCTTTTCTTTTCTAATTTCTTTCTTTCTAATTTCTTTCTTTTTAATTTCTTTCTTTTTAATTTCTTTCTTTCTAATTTCTTTCTTTTTAATTTCTTTCTTTCTAATTTCTTTCTTTCCAATTTCTTTCTTTTTAATTTCTTTCTTTCTAATTTCTTTCTTTCTAATTTCTTTCTTTCCAATTTCTTTCTTTCCAATTTCTTTCTTTCCAATTTCTTTCTTTTTAATTTCTTTCTTTTTAATTTCTTTCTTTCTAATTTCTTTCTTTCCAATTTCTTTCTTTCCAATTTCTTTCTTTTTAATTTCTTTCTTTTTAATTTCTTTCTTTTTAATTTCTTTCTTTCTAATTTCTTTCTTTCCAATTTCTTTCTTTTTAATTTCTTTCTTTCCAATTTCTTTCTCACTAATTTCTTTCTTTCTAATTTCTTTCTTTCCAATTTCTTTCTTTTTAATTTCTTTCTTTCCAATTTCTTTCTCACTAATTTCTTTCTTTCTAATTTCTTTCTTTCCAATTTCTTTCTTTTTAATTTCTTTCTTTCCAATTTCTTTCTTTCCAATTTCTTTCTTTCCAATTTCTTTCTTTTTAATTTCTTTCTTTCTAATTTCTTTCTGATTCTTAATAATTCTTTGCTTCTTTCTGTTTTTCATTATAACGATTCTTATTTGTTCCTTTTTGCTTTTCTTTCTAATAGTTCTTTGTTTCTTTCTTTATTAGGTTCTTTTATCTTTTTCTATCTTTATTTATTAGGTTCTTTTATCTTTTTCTATCTTTATTTATTAGGTTCTTTTATCTTTTTCTATCTTTCTTTATTAGGTTCTTTTATCTTTTTCTATCTTTCTTTTTTTAGGTTCTTTTTTATCTTTTTCTATTTTATTTATCTTTCTTTTTCTATCTTTCTTTATTAGGTTCTTTTATCTTTTTCTATCTTTCTTTATTAGGTTCTTTTATCTTTTTCTATCTTTCTTTATTAGGTTCTTTTATCTTTTTCTATCTTTATTTATTAGGTTCTTTTATCTTTTTCTATCTTTCTTTATTAGGTTCTTTTATCTTCTTCTATCTTTTTTCTTATCCCTTTACAAGGTTTCTACACTCTTTTTTTTTCTTTCTTTTTTCTTTCCTACTGTCCACTCCGCCTTATTTCATTTCTTTCTTTCTTTCTTTCTTTCTTTCTTTCTTTCTTTCTTTCTTTCTTTCTTTCTAATAGCCCCTATTTCTTTCTTTTGTTTTTTCTTTCTTTTTCATTTTCTTTCTTTTGTTTTCTTTCTCTCCCTTTGTTTGTTTGTTTCTTTCTTCCGAATAGCGCCTCTTTCTTTCTTTTTTCTTTCTTTCTTTTTGTTTTTCTTTCTTTTTTGTATTTCTTTCTTTTTTTTTCGTTTGTTTTCTTTCTCTCTTTAGTTTTTCCCTCTTTCTTTTTTTCTTTGTTTGTTTCTCTCCTTCTTCTTACTTTCCACCACGCGTTACTTCATTTCTTTCTTTCTTTCTTTCTTTCTTTTTTCTTTCTTTCTTTCTTTCTTTCTTTCTTTCTTTCTTTCTTTCTTGCATAAGTCGTTCCTTTCTCCTTTCTGTTTTCTTCAATTTGAATTCTTTTCTTTTTAAATACTTTCTTCCTCAAAGCAAATTGTAAACAAAAAATTAAAAAAAAACAACTACTTATCCTAATCACATAGGTAATAAACAAAGCAGACCTAAACTCTCAAATTCCTGACGTGTTTCAATTCCGAGAAAACGACGTTTAAATTGTGATTTTTATTCTAATTCATTTCTCATAAATAAATCAAATCCAATATACACTATAGGTCAATGTTTTGGACCCACCCTCTAGAATTTAAAGAAGCGCCTAAAATTTGGAGGCTTCCAGTCTTTCTCCAAACATTCAAGATCCCATCAAATCAGAAGTTTACAAGAAAGTTCGCCACCATTAAAATACACCTTGAGGAAAGTTCAACGTGAGAAATGTTTACAGCGCGGAAATGAGATTTTATAATTCATAAATTTGTTGATTACTTTGAAGACACCTGAATAGGGCATCCAGACAGCAGACGATGTCTAAATATCCTCTCGAAATGTGGAAATGCTTACTGGTTTTCTCAGAGTAACTTACCCAAAACTAACAATAATGTAGAAGACTGACATAGGACCAATGAAGAACAAATGACTTTCTTTCTTTCTTTCTTTCTTTCTTTCTTTCTTTCTTTCATTAAGATGTTCCTTCTTTTCGTTTCAAATGCATTTTCCTTCCTTTTTTTATTGAAGTGCTCTATTTCTTCATCACTCTCTTCGTTTCTTTCTTCTTAAAATCATTGCCTCCTTTCTTTTTTGTTTTTCTTCCTTTTTGTTTCTTTTGTTTTTCTTTCTTATTCTTTCTTTTGTTTCTCTCTCTTCTTTTTCTTTCTTTCTTTCTTTCTTTCGTTTCTTTTTCTTTCTTTCATTTGTTTTTCTTTTTTGTTTTTCTTTTTTCCTTTTGTTTTTCTTTCCTTTTCTTTCTTTCTTTCTTTCTTTCTTTCTTTCTTTCTTGCATTAGTTCTTCTTTCTTTTTTCTTTCCTTCTTTCTTCCTTTTGTTACTCTTTTTTCTTTCTTTCTTTCATTTTTTTCTTTCTTTCTTTCTTTCTTTCTTTCTTTTGTTTTTCTTTCTTTCTTTCATTTGTTTTTCTTTCATTTGTTTTTCTTTCTTTTGTTTTTCTTTTTTCCTTTTCTTTTCTTTCCTTCTTTCTCTCTTTCTTTCTTCTTTTGTTTCTCTTTCTTTCTTTCTTTCTTACATTAGTTCTTCTTTCTTTTTCCTTTCGTTCTTTCTTTCTTTTGTTATTCTTTTTTCTTTCATTTGTTTTTCTTTCTTTCGTTCTTTCTTTCTTTCAATTGTTTTTCTTCCTTTTTTCTTTCTTTCAATTGTTTTTCTTCCTTTTTTCTTTCTTCTTTTGTTTTTCTTTCTTTCTTTTCTTTTTTCTTTCATTCTTTTGTTTTTCTTTCTTTCTTTTTTCTTTTGCTTTCTTTCTTTTTGCTTTGGAAGCGTCGAAAAAAGTGCGCGTTATATGAGGAAGTGTAAGTAATATTGGTACGTTTTAAATGGATATTTAAAAAAGAATTAACAGAACCTATTATAGATTATAATAACGTTGTATATGAAAGAAAAAATAATTTTCACAATGAAAGAAAAGACTGTATAGCTCAACGAAGCAAATAAAAGATAATTACCCCACGCAACGCCGAATATCATTACTAGTGCCACTAAAAAAGAAATAAGATACAAAGAATTAGAAAGACAGAGCTGATATGTATTGGGCAAATAATGAGGAAAGAACACTTGGAGAATTTGACACTCACAGGAGCAAATCGAAGTAAAAAGGGGCAGGGGAAGGCAGTGGGTAACCTACCTGAACCTCTTGTATGAATGAATGGCCGAACGGGAGAAGAAGGCTTGGCAAAGAAACAAACGTTACTAAAAGCTGAAAGGGATAGGATGTTGTGGAGAGGCATGATTCTCCACGTCCTGAAGGGACACAGCACATTTTGAAGATCGTTTCGAGCTATCATTTCTGTCGAAAGCAAAAACGAGAGGTCATTTTATGAAAGAATGTAATGATTGCTACATTGCTTCGAACATTGATACCTGTCTTCTTCAGGCACCCGCCATTTTTGGTAACATCCTCGGAATTTGGAACCAAACCTATTCTGCTATCTCCGAATGTAAACTGCACTTATTCCGTTGTTCCAGATAAGGGTGATAACTCATATTGGTTACTTTTTATATCATTCGTCTTTGTGATGCCAAATGTACTCCCTTCGATGAAACAGAATATAGCGATCAAAGTTGAAGAAGATTGAAATAATCAGAGTGCATAACTTGCTCAGTGGGCCTAGCGTAGAACTGAACACCGGATATGAGTCTTTGATTAAGAAGAAAAAAAAAGAAAGCAAATATTTAAAGCTAAAGTGTTCCACCAATTTAACGTTAACGTAAGTCACTGGTTTACAACCTACTTTTTTAAAAATGGACCACTTTTACTCTTAATTGTTCTTGTGGACCATCATAACAATTCGACAAAACGAAGATTAGTTTTTTTTTTACAAATAGATAAGTTTAGAAATTGTATTATAGAAATAGTAAATTTTTATGCTTGCTTTTGATGTAAAACTAATTTAATGAAAATAAACTTGTATTTAGCAATTAAATTCTATGGAATATTTATGTACACTCGTAAAATAACTAATAATAAAACATTTTAAAATGGACACTTATCAACACTAAAAGTTCCTGATAAGGGAGATAACTCGTATTGGTTACTTTTTATATCATTCGTCTTTGTGATATCAATTGTACTCGTTTCGATGAAACAGAATATAGCGATCAAAGTTGAAGAAGATTGAAATAATCAGAGCGCATAACTTGCTCAGTGAGCCTAGCGTAGAACTGAACACCAGATATGAGGCTTTGATTAGGAAGAAAAAAAGGCAAATATTTGAAGCTAAAGTGTTCCACCAAATTGACGTTAATGTAAGTAATTGGTTCTCAACTTACTTTTTAAATATGGACCATTTTTACTCTTAATTGTTTTTGGACCACCATAACAATACGATAAAAAAGATTATTTTATTTTTTAATAATGGGTAGGTTTAGAAATTGTATTATGGAAATAGTAAATGTATATGCTTTAATTTGAAGTAAAACTAATTTAATGAAAATAAACTTGTATTTAACAATTAAATTCTATTGAACATTTATGTACACTAGTAAAATAACTCATAATAAACCATTTTAAAATGGACACCTGTGAACCCCCAAAATGCTACATGGACACCCAGGGTGCATATGGACATTTGACCGACAGGCATTTAGTCGACAGACGGACATTTGACCAAAAAAGTACAAGTAAAACTAGCAACAAGCAATACTTTAAGTATTTTAATTAGCAATTATTATAAGGTAGAATAGGACTAATAATTAGCACTGAATTTCAAGTGATTAAATTACTAAATCTAAAGTTAAAAGTTTTCTTATTTCAATATTTATTTATTGAAATTAGTATTTAAAAAAATATTTGAATGTATTTGGGTAAAAAGTAGCACCTAATTATTTACATTCGTATTTAACAGTAAGATAAAAGCTAGTTCATCCCTTTAAGATAATGATCATTAAAAAGCGAATTGGAAAGGTCTTTCATATCGTAAAAGCTTAAGATTTTTGCTGTATTAAAATACGCTTTTTCTCAAAATACTTAACATCTTACAGTAATATTTGAAGTAAAATATAATATATACAGAATAGATTTTTAAAAAGCCTGTTAAAAAATTATAAATTAATACAATAAATAAATATAAATATATGTCGCACATTACGATAAAGAGTGTGACAGACACATGTAAGTATGCCACTACATTTTCTACTAAATGTCCATTCGGTTGAATATCCTTTGGTAAAATGTCCGAGTACCCATATGGAACCCAATTGAGAACCACTGCCTTATATGAACCCATCCACTTCATTGAATCAGTGTATATTAACTTCAAAGACCAAATTCGGAGACGAAGAAGATTAGTGTGTATAACATGCTCAGTAGGCCAATCATAGAAGCACCACACTGGAATTTTCGATTACGAAAAAAATATTTAATGCTCCAAACGGCTTGAGGTTACCTTAGGTGAATTCCTGGATCACATACATTTGAGTAATAGACAAGTCAAAATAAATATTAAAAGACGAAAAGGCTGACATAAGATAACATCTCGTCATGCTAGAAGAATGAGAAGAATGTAACCCCCGCCAAATAAATAAATGATTCTGTTCGAAATTCTCAGAAGGTTACCACATATGACAGGTATGCGAAATAGGCAGCAAATTAGAAGAGTCAATCCGTTTTGAATCTAACAGGGAAGAAGAAAGGGGGTGAGGCCGAGTAAACGACGGAATTTTTAGAATTCTTTATTTTGTTTTAAATATAGATGGAAAACTTGAATATTTGCGCGATAAGTATTCAACATGTGTCATCTATCTATCTATCTATCTATCTATCTATCTATCTATCTATCTATCTATCTAAATAAGTTACTATCTATCTATCTATCTATCTATCTATCTATCTATCTATCTATCTCAATCAGTTTATATCTATTTGAATCAGTTCATATCTATCTAAATCAGTTATCGATCTATCTATCTATCTATCTATCTATCTATCTAAATAAGTTACTATCTATCTATCTATCTATCTATCTATCTATCTATCTATCTATCTATCTATCTCAATCAGTTCCTATCTATCTATCTATCTATCTATCTATCTATCTATCTATCTATCTAAAATAAGTTACTATCTATCTATCTATCTATCTATCTATCTATCTCAATCAGTTTATATCTATTTGAATCAGTTCATATCTATCTAAATCAGTTATCTATCTATCTATCTATCTATCTATCTATCTAAATAAGTTACTATCTATCTATCTATCTATCTATCTATCTATCTATCTATCTATCTATCTCAATCAGTTCCTATCTATCTATCTATCTATCTATCTATCTATCTATCTATCTATCTATCTATCTAT